AGAAAGTTTTCCAGAATAAATAGGTAAAGGGTTGGACCCACGTGCCACATATTGTAAATTATAGAACACAGAATGTTGTCCCAGAATAGACACATCCTGGAGTTTGTAAGACTGGTTGGGTCCAACAATTGGGTTCGCAGAATCTCTGGGGTACTTGCTTCCCTCTAAATTTTAATCTGCAAATGATGCCTGGGTACCCTCTCGGCTGGGCACTGGACCACGAGCATACATGAGAATGCTCAAGTCTGGCACATGACGACAGCCTTGATGCTCTAACTGATCCACAGAGAACAGAGGAAGGAACAGACTGCCTGGACCAGAAAGGGGAGACATGGGACAGGGAGGAGGGGCTTGCAGGAGGAGAAGCTCAGAGGACATAGGAAACATGCATGAGCAAAGACTTGGGTGCTTGACGTTGTGGGGAGTGTGGGCATGGTGCATGTGGCTCAGTGAAGCTGGAAGGGGCATGCTGGGGGAGTGGGAGTGGAAATGAAGCTGCCTAGATGGGCGGGAACAGCTTTAAGGGCTCAGAATTTGGAAGATAGACTACTAGACTCTTGCATGCTAAAGTGTTTGAAGGCTACTATGACCAGATACCTTGATTTTTGACAGTTGAGTTTTTTGGTTGAACAATAGTGAGGTTCATTTTTCCATTCAGCAAATATTTACTATCTTCTGTGCATGAGGTCTTATCCTGGACCTGGGATATGACCTGCTGTGCCAAGACAGACAGAATTCCCCCAGCCCACCCCATGTTTCCAGTCATCAACACAGAAGCCAGTGTGATGCGTGCTCTGAAAGGCATTCCTGAGGGATGAGTGGAGCACTAGTCAGGGGAGGCCTTGATGAGGAAGTGACACAAAAATGTGTGAGGAGCTGAGGGTGGCCTTTCAGGAAGGAGGAGGAGTGTGTGCCCAGGCTGTAATTATTAGTCACAAAGAGTGGCTGGAGCATGATTTGGAAGGGGCAACAGCCAGGTGTTGGCCTGTATTTCTTGGCATTCCCGCAAGGTGAGCTTTGCCCTGTACACAGTGCTGTGAGGGGGCTGGTGAACTGTCAGGTCCCATCACGACCCTGGGGGGGCGGGGCAGTGCTCAGAACTAAGATATGCCTGCCATTCGAGGAGCACGAGGCCCTGAAATGCTCTCTGCTAGTCACGCAGAAGACAGAGAATCCACGATAAATTCACATTTCCTCTTATCTGGTCTGGCCTCTCCCTGGTTCAGTTTCCTGCTAATGACTAGCTGCTCAGCCAGGGCTCAAGCTTCTGAGTGCACTCCAGCAGGACTCTGGGCCTCGGCCACCTGGGGGAGAGGCTGAAGTCCCAGTCCTCTGTGGCATCAGTCCTATCCCACAGATTTAGACATAGAGACCGGAAGTCACCCAACCTTAGCCAGGCTTAGAGACCGGTTCTGCCCCCTTCCCCCAATATAAGCTTGACTGCTAACCAGAAGGCTGGCGGTTCAAACCCACCAGCCACTCCTCGGAAGGAAGGTTGGGCAATCCTACTTCCGTAGTGATACTGCCTCGGAAACCCAAGGAGGGGTCGCTATGAGTCAGGGCTGACTCGACGGCACATAACAACAACAACAACAACAACTTAAGGGGCATTTTCTTCCTTTAAACGTTTTGAATAGATAGGCTTCACTGTTGGTGGTCTAGGGCAGAAAACCCGACTGAACTCTGCTTCCTTGGGGATATTTAGGCCAAACAAATCCTTTCCTGAAAATCCTCAGTGAGTCTTGTCTCTGCTGTGCACTAGCGATAGCCAGTGGTTTCAGCAGGCTGCCCTAAACATCCAGTCCTTGGGGAAACTGCCCCTTGGTTGGTCAGCAAACCAGCCCAGCCTCTGTGCAGAGGCAGAGGAGTGGCAGAGTTTGGCTCCTGTCTTCCAGGCCCAGCTCCGTCTAGTCGCCAAGGACCAGTAGGAACAGTCCTGGGCCAGTTTCTGTGATGTAGCCTGTGTAACCACTCCTTTGTTAGAAGAAGGAAACCACAGCCACACAACTTGTAACCACATGCTGTACTTTATCTGGTTCCACACCAGGGCATCCCCCACCCCCACCCCCTAGAACCTCCCCACCAAAGGAGTGCATTTCTCAAATGGTAGAGTTTCAGGTGAGTGGGGAGAAAGGGGTTCAGGGCAGGTACTGTGCTTCCAGTCAAGGTGATAGGAGGTGCTACAGCATCTTTGAATGATGGAGAAATGCTGTGAGCTGTCAGGGACCATGTAGCCATGGTGACTGTGGTGTGCTGTTAGCATTTAAAACCCTCCCCTGAACAGATGAGAGAACTGAAGTGCAGAGCCAGTGCCTGGAAGCAGCCTCCGCCATCAGACTAGGGCCTTCCTATTCCAACAGCTGGAGTGTGCCCCTCCAAACTGGCCCCAGGGCCCAGCAGGATGCTGTAGAGCACAGTGATCTTTAGAGGCCCCAGCCAGCAGGGAGGGAGACTCTGTAGATTGCCTGTCACTTATCCACTGGGAACCCTGGGCAAGTTATCTAACCTTCCTGAACCCCACGTGTCCCATGAGTAAAATGGGAACAGTGGTCCGCCCACCTCACAGGGTCACTGAGCACAGCTCTGTAAACGGCCTAGTTTGTGGTTGTAAACGGCTCCATTCCTGAGTTCTCACACAGTGTGGGGCATTGCAGGGTGGCTCTGGTGACCTAACTGGCCCCCTGCCACCATGTTTTCCTGGCCCTGAGAAGTAGCTGCCCTCTGCCCAAGCACTGCCCTTCTTAGGCTGAGGAGTCAGAGATTGTGAGTGTGTCTTTCTGGGGAGCCCCTTGAGTATCCTCAAGACCTGAGCAGGACTAGGAAATGCTGAATAGAATGCATGGGAAGTGGGTGCTCCTGGCTCTGAGCTCCCAGATACATACTCACCCCCGACGAGTCAGGCACAAGACATGCTTCCAGCTCCCTGGACTTTGCCTTGTGGTGGCTGCTACTTTATTTTTTTGTCTTTTGCTTCTATTACTTATGAACCACCCATCTCACAGCTGTTTCTATGCTGATGAGGGGTCTTCCCTTTCCTGGAACCCAGAGTCTGGCTTAACTGTTGATGGACAGAGGGATGGATTTTTTTGGTCTAAATTTTTCATTTTTAGATAATTGTCGATTCACAAACAACAGTAAGAAATAATACTCAGGGCTGATGTGTGCTCTTTACCCAGTTCCCTCGCTGGTAACATCTCATGAAACCATAGTTACAATATCATAGCCCAGATGTCGACATAGATTATGTTCTACCATCTCACTGAGATTCTGCACTTTCACTAGTTCTCCTTTTGTGGGTGGGTTTGCAGTGCTATGCAGTTTCATACCATGCGTAAGCTCAGGTCACTGCCAACACAGGAAAGAAAGCACTTCCATCTCAAGAATTACTCCCGTTGCTCTTTGATAAGCACACCCACCTCCCTCCCATTTGCAGGCTTTTAAGACCTCAGGTACTACATGATGAACTAGGAGATCAAAGTACTAGGCCAATTAACTGGGATGTCCCCTGAAACCATGAGTGTAAACCTCTGAGCCAGTGTGTGTACATTTTTATGTAAATATAAATTACCATTTCTGTGGAATGCCCAAGAATGAAATTGCTGGGTCATATAATAATTGCATGTTTAGTTTGATGATAAACTGCCAAACTCTTTTCAGAGTGAGTGTACCATTTTATTTTCCCATCAGTAATGGATGAGTGACCCAGTTTCTCCACATCCTCACCAGCATTGGATACTGTCACTATTTTTCATGTTAGCCATTCTGATAGATGTAGTATCTCAAACTCACTGCTGTTGAGTCGGATCTGACTCATAGTGACCTCTCCTTGGGTTTCCGAGCCGGTATCATTACAGAAGTAGATTGCCCAGTCTTCCTTCCAAGGAGTGGCTAGTGGGTTTGAACTGCCAGCCTTCTGGTTAGCAATCAGATGCCTTAGGCACTAGGCTACCAGAGCTCCCAGGTTTAGTATAGTGATATCTTACTGCGGCAGCTAGGTGGGTTTTGCTGTCCCATGCCCACAGCCCTTGTGGCACTGGGCTTCATTTTATGGGTTTCCATTGTGCCATCTACATTAACCTCTGTGAATGGCAGCTTCTTGAAGGTAGGTCCTAGGCTGGGCCAGGCCTTGGGTAGGGGCTTGATTTAAGTCTTCGCTGGGGAAAGGGCGTTTGAGTTAAGGTGCTGAGAAAAGCCCGAACCTGACTTGGTCCCTCACAATAAGTGTAGCTATTGCTGTTTGAAGAGCACCTTCTGTTTCAAACAAAGTTCTCAGCATTAAGAAGCAAGCAATGGGCCTTCAGTGCTCCTGCTGTGAGCCAACCTCAGGCCAGGCTGGGAGTGGGATTCAGAGATGACCCCGCTCCCACCTGTGGCAGGCCCTGGTTCCCTGAAGCTTGGTGGAGTCTTGAGGAAACTGTTGGGAGTAGGGAAAGCAAGATTGCTAGAGAATGTGCAGTTAACTGGGACCTGAAGGCTATGTTGGCTTTGAGCAGACAGGGATGGTGGATCCAAGCAGAGTAAAAGGGAAACCAGGAGAAAGGGAAGAAGGGAACAGTGAGTCTGTCAGTGAGTTTGAAGAACTCAAGGTTAGCTAATCCCTGAGCTGTGTGTTTGACCTCCACTGTTTTGTCACTGCCTCCTGAGGGAATGCTTCCCTGAGCCTTCAAGCCCGGTTAGGTTCTGTCACAGCCTTGTGGCACCATGCACTCACCAGTTAGCCCCTGCCTCAGCTGGATAATATCTTTGTATGTGACTTTGAGGTGGGGAGTATCTGGTTAATGTTGGCATCCCCCACTAGACTTGGCCTTGCACGAGGTTGGGCAGGATCTATGTCTGTCTTGGTCACTGCTGTGTCTAACCTCCATCCTCCTATGCCAGAAGTCCTGAGGAAATGGCTTAGGTCAGAGGTAGGGCCAGATCAGGCAGAGCCTCAAACTTGGAAGAGGCTTGAGAGAAATGGGGCCTCACTTTTTCCCCTCCCTCCTGTCATCCATCTGCAGGTTCATCATGTCTAGTGGCGTATAAGAAGACTCCGCCACCAGTCCCTCCGCGCACCACATCAAAGCCGTTCATCTCAGTCACAGTTCAGAGCAGTACTGAGTCTGCCCAGGACACCTACCTGGACAGCCAAGACCACAAGAGTGAAGTGACGAGCCAGTCAGGCCTGAGCAACTCGTCAGACAGCCTGGACAGCAGTACCCGACCGCCCAGCGTGACACGGGGTGGAGTTGCCACAGCCCCTGAGGCCCCTGAGCCACCCCCAAAACATGCAGCTTTGAAGAGTGACCAAGGGACACTGACCAGCTCCGAGTCCCACCCTGAGGCCGTCCCTAAAAGGAAACTGTCATCAATAGGAGTACAAGTAGGGGCTCCTTTTGCACTCTGTGTCCTGAGTCTGCTCCACGGACCTGCCTGTGTGTAACTACATCTGGCGGGGGGCCCTGGGTCTGCTAGGCAAAGGTGGTTTATCTGTTTTGGGGAGGTCAGCCCCAAGTGGCCGAATCACTTCCACTCATAACCATGACTTCCTCGCAGTCACCCATGTGTTCCACAGTCTGTAGCTGTGGGCACTTGCTCCAGCTGCTCCCAATGGGTTGTCCCAGTGAATGTGGTTACACTCAGACAGCCATCTCCTGTCCCCCATTTGCTTGTCCACTGTCTGTCCATCCACTCTGAGCCTTGCCAGCCTACCCGCGGGAGGTGGGACTGACTTAACAGTTCTCTAATCTAAGGTCAGCTCGGGCGCGGAGACCATAGCCCTGCTTGGCAGCGGGGACAGCGTGGAGCATAGACGCCAATGGGCCAAGGGCCCAGGACCCAGGGCTCTTGAGCCATGGGGGTTGCTCAAGGGGAACTTTGCCCAGAGCCCTCTCAGGCCTTGGAGACAGGTAGGTGGCTCCAGGCACCAGGCCCATGTCAAACTGAGAAGTGTGACACCAGTACTGATGCCTCCCTCCACAGGAAAGGGTCCAGGCATATAGTTCCCAGGACCGAGGAGCCAAAGCCAGTTTCCCTCTCCGCTGCTTCATTGCACCTCCTGCATGCACATAACCTGAATAATGTATCTTCTGTTAGGTGAGCTGGAAAGTGTGGGCCCTGTTGTGTGGTTTTCAAGCATTGCTCTAAATCTGGAGTGAGAGGCCTCTCCCTACCCTAGATGGGAGCAGGCTGGATCCTGCCCCAGCCAGCTGCTCCAGACTGAAGTAGAACATGTTCAGGACACTGAGAGAAGGGCAACTACCATGGGCTGGATCCCAAGCTTAGGGGGACTGATCAAGGAGGACACACTGGTGTGCATTGTGACTCAGGCTGGCAGGGATCTCCCATTTCCCCATCACCACTGAGCAGCCAGCATGGTCAGTTTGATGACAGAGCATTAAAATGTAAAGGGATCATGGGACACAGAAGAGATGAATGCCACAGTGGGAGGGAAGGGGAGGAGAGAAGAAGGCTCACTGGCCAATTTCTTGCACTTGCCTGGACTGATTTTCCCCTAAGAGGTAACTCTGAGCTGTTTCCCCATATGTACAAGAAGAAATTGGCCAGGAGGCTCTTGTTTTCTGGGCTTGTCTGGCTCTATCCAGCTGGGCTGCTTCTTCAAAATGGTCCAGCTTTTGTCCTAAACAGCTTCTCCAGGTGGGATCCTTAGGAACATAGAGTGGCCCAGTTTCTGACCCGAGATCCTGGCCACCAGGGTCTTTATTTAGAGCAGCCCCATCCTCTCCCTGACCAAACCAGATGCTCTTCTCTTCCCAAATTACCCTAGAAAGAGTAGAGCCACCCTTGATTCCTTTTACCCAGAAAATCATAGTGGGGTAAGGGCCCTTTAGCTCTTGGGCTTGTCCTGAGCTCCTTCCCTTGAATTCACCCTACCCCTGTCCCATGCTCGCACTGCAGCTCCTTGGAGGTAATGATGCTATAGTCCCTGAGCTGGGTCTTGCTGAGGGGAATAGACAGCTAGCTGCACCCCTGTAGCTCAGTCTCACTGCCCCAGAAATCCTCCCTGGCCCCAGCTTCTGTCCTTGAAGCGAAGAGAGCTATCCTGCCAATACTTGGCCTCGCCCTCTTGGTGCCTCAAGCCCTGGGCCAAATGCGGGTTTTCCCTCATTCATGAGAGGTTATGGGAGGTCTGGCCTAGCTGCTTCATGGCCAGGCACCTTTGTCCCAGAGAAAATGCAATCTCAGGGCGTCACGGTTAACCATATTTTTCTGCTTCCCAGGAGCATAAAGAAAGAGTGCTAGCTTTGGGGTTGGCCCTGGCATTCCTGCTGCCCTCTAGTCCCACCCAGGGTTGAAGGTCACCTCAACCAAGTGTGATTGGGGCTCAGGGACCAGGGATGGCATCCCATAGTGTCCAGGGGCTTCACCAGCTATTGCCTTGGTGGTAGTTTTGAAATCTAGAGCTGTTCTCCAAGGTTTACCTTAGTTCAGTGCCTGCTGCTTACCCTTCCAGGCTTCAGCCACAGGGTGGGAGAGTGATCTTTGCCTCAAGACAGCCCCCAGCTTCAATTACACAAGATAACGGCTGTGGCTTTGTATGTGTGTGTGTGTGTGTTTTCTTTCTCTTTTTGTTGTCCTTTTATTTCTTCTCTCTGATGCGTGTAAAGGAGAGGACTAGAAGGAACGGTTCCCACCTCTCGGAGGACAACGGACCCAAAGCGATCGATGTGATGGCACCCTCCTCAGAGTAGGGAAAGCCAGTCATCTCCACCCCATCCCACCTCCCGCCCACCTGCCCGCCTCCACGCGAATGAGCAGTGCCCGGCTTAACCTGGTCCGGCCTCGGGCCCATGTGCAGTGTTCGCATGCATCATGTCTTTCTGTCCACACGTCCGTTTGCGTCGTCCCACTAATGTGAATTTCAGCAGCAAGTGTGGTGTTTGTTTTTTATTTTTGTCTTTGTCTCCGTGCCGTTGCTGTCGTTGTCCTTCAATAAGGTTGACTGCATTCAGCCAGTGCCAAAAGAGGAGCCCAGTCCCGCTACCAAATTCCAGTCCATCGGGGTTCAGGTAGAGGACGACTGGCGGTAAGTCGGACAGAGGTGGTGGCTGCTTCTCCCCCCCTCCTCTCTCTCCTGCTCTCACCTCTCCTGCGCCTTCCCCTCCTGCTCTCCCTAACCCAATTCTCCTTGCTGGATTTCTAATAACCAAGCTGGGTTTGGGATGCGGGTGGTGGCCCAGGCATGGGAGGCGGGCGGGCAGTGAGCACTTGCTCTGAGATTTGTCAACCATGGGGGGCCATGGCTGGGCTGAGATGTGGCCCCAGCTACCCTGGTGTTGGTGGTCTTTCTGGCCCCACTGCAGTAAACAGGCAACCTTATGACCTTGTCCATGTGTGTGTGTGCGTGTGGGTGAGGGTTGGTCGGGGCAAGGGCTGAGCCGAGAATGAAATGAGGGCTGTGGGGCCGCTTCAGGCGCATGGGGAGCAGATGATGCATCCGTTTCTCTGTCTCCTGTGTGTCCGGTCGGGGCGGCTGCTGGTCTTTGACCCTCTTGGTAACTCTCACCCCTTCCCATCCCCACCCTCCACCTGACCCACAGAAGCAGCGCCCCCTCCCACGGCATGTCCTCCCGACGGGACACCGACTCGGATACCCAGGATGCCAATGACTCGAGCTGTAAGTCATCTGAGAGGAGCCTCCCAGACTGTACCCCACACCCCAACTCCATCAGCATCGACGCTGGCCCTCGGCAGACCCCCAAGATTGCCCAGATCAAGCGCAACCTCTCCTATGGAGACAACAGCGACCCTGCCCTAGAGGCGTCCTCGCTGCCCCCACCTGACCCCTGGCTTGAAACGACCTCCAGCTCCCCAGCAGAGCCAGCACAGCCAGGGGCCTGCCGCCGAGATGGCTACTGGTTTTTGAAGCTACTTCAGGCTGAGACGGAGCGGCTGGAAGGCTGGTGCTGCCAGATGGACAAGGAGACCAAAGAGAACAACCTCTCTGAAGAAGGTGAGTGCTGTGTGGATGGACCCCCATGGGGCAGGGACGTGAGGGGTGCACAGCGAGTTCTCCAGCTTCCTTCTAGCCTGCTTTGGAGCCTCTGAATGAGGAGAGTCTCTCAGGTTCTCGTCTTAGGTTCCTTTCTTCCATCCATACGTCTCCGTAACCAAACCTTTTTCCTAAAAGGATTTACCGCGGAGCTGCTGGTTATTGTCATGCAGGCTGGGATCAGCCACCTGGGTTTGAATTCTAGCTCTTGGGACTTTTGTCAAGTTACTCAGAGCCTCAGTTTCCTCATCTGTAAAATGTAGGTCATGCTGCTGCCTGACCTCTTAAGAATACTGTGAAGATGAAATGTGGTAATGCATGTAAAGAACCCAATACAGTACCTGGTACAGAGGAAGTTGGCACCATAGTTATGCCCACTCACCAAACACAAGCACCAGGGATCTCACTGGGAACCTCAACAGAGTTTTAGGCAAGACAAGTATTACTTAGTTTCCCACTTAGGTATCTACCTATACCATGCCTATTTCCAAAAATTCTCCTAGGAAGTTAGTTTAAGAACTAGAAATATGTAAGGAGCCTAGACTCAGGTGGTTGGTTGATAAGGGGCAGGAGGTTGTTTGGAGACAGCTCCAGGTTACTGCCCCAGGAGCCACACCCTGCATTGACCTGGTTCAGCCAAAGCTCCCACTTCCAGTGAGTTCCTCCTCCACAGGAAGTTCAGGAAGGGGATAGGGTTTTAGAGTGCCCAATGAGATACACTAGCATCCCCTGGACAGATGGGGTGGGACCTGCGGAGAGCACCCTCTGATGACTGAGAGGGTGCTTTAGAGTCATTTTTTTCACGGTCCTCTGGGCTGGTTCCCAGCTTTGATTCACACCCACTGGTGTCTTGGGATCTGTTGTGAGGCATGTGCCTAATAACTTTTTACAATCATAGTATTAAAAAAAATCAGAACAGAGGCAAAGCTCAAAGAGTACTAAAAGGCTTCCAACAGAAAACATCCAGCCCACTGCCCTACCTTAACCTCTCCCCACTTTCAATTCACATTAGCTGTACATTCCAGCATTTGCCTTCCTATGTCTTCCTTTAAATGTATTGCCTTCTTTCTTGTCTAAAGTTGTCATCACATTGATTTCTTGTTATAACATGAAGATTTAGCTGTCACACCACCCCCACCTCTCTCCTGCCCCACACTCCCTATATTATTAGTTTTTGGTTAAATAACAAGCATATTTCTATTTACTACGAGCACATAAATACTATCCACTGCAGCACCTAATAGTATATTATGATTTCACTTTATAATTCACACATTTAGTTTTTCTGAGAATTATTGGTGGCCTCATTTTTTTCACATCCACCTACTCCTTACTTATTGACTATCTCATTCAACATTTTGCATTTATGACAGTAGTGAAAAATTGACTACCTGACTACTCTGTGTATTAACGAGGTGGTGAGCGTGGCAGCAGGAGTTGCAGAGCATCTGCTCCCTCAAGGAAGGTCTCCAGGAAGCTGGCCTCCGCCATGGCCCCGGGGCAGGCGCACAGCCACCAAGTCAGCAGGGCCTTTCTAGGTTCCTAGCTTCTATTTGTGTGAGTCTCTGCCCTCAAAATTGCTGTGGGGTGGGAAGGAAAGAAAGAAAAAGGCATCAGGGAGGGTGTTTGGAAGAAAAGTCTGCAAGTTTAATGACTTCCCAAAGTGAGCTTTACTGAATCTGAAGGCTCTGCTTCATTGGGGCCGGGGGCACAACCAGACTCTGGGATCCTGACTGCAGGACCTGTGCACTCGGGTGTAGTGTAGCCCTGGAGGCAAGGGAAACTCTGACCCAGCACAGGATGGAGATGAAATGGTTAAGCCATGGGGTTTCCAGTCATGGAACCCAGCTTTGTCTCCTCCAAGCCTCCTTCACTGCAGAATAACATGACTGGATTCGTCACAGTGATGAACACATCAGTAAATCTTATTGCTAGATGTCGGGTTGGTTTTGTGACTCATGGTGATCTCATGTACAACAGAACGAAACACTGCCCAGTCCTGCGCCATTCACGAGCCCATTGTGGCAGCCACTGTGTCAGTCCATCTCATTGAAGGTCTTCTCCCCTTTTATTTCCCCCTTGTGTCTCATTTCTTTTTTCTTTTTAATTATTGTGATTGGGTATAAATTTACAGAGCAAATTCGTTTTCCATACAGCATTTCATACACATCTCATGACATTGACTGCAGTTCTCCACAGAGTAATAGTTCTCTTCCCACTTCCTCCTTGTAATTATTTCTTCCCTGTGACCTTCCTTCCTGTGCACTCCTGCCCCCTGAACTATCTCCCTGTACAAACACTGCTCTTCTGTTCTCCCATGATTGATCGTTCTAAGGTGTGTATCTACCTAGTATAAATATTCACCCTATATGCCTGTTGTTTGGGTAGAAGCCACGGGAGTAAGTTCAGTTCTAGGCCTGAAGGGTAACGAGGAGCCACAGTCTTGGGAGTTTCAACAGGCTCCATCAGACTAGTAAGCCTGGTCTTTCCCCCCACCCCACCCCCTTTTTTTTTTTTTTTTTTTTTTTTGTGATTTGGGTGAAAATTTACGGAGCAAATTCACTTTCCATATAGCAGTTCACATACACTTTGTCTCATGACATTGACTACAATTTACCACAATGCAACAGCTCCCCTCCCACTTTCTCCCGATAGTTACCTCTTCCCTGTGTCCATCCCTCCATGCACTCCTGCCCCCTGAGCTGTCTCCTGGTGCATAAGCAGCCCTTCTTTCTCCCATAATTGCTCTCTCCAAGGAGTGTATCTACCTCAGGTAAATATTCAACTCATATACCTATCTTTTGTTTGGCTGGCAGCCACAAGTGTGGGTTCAATTCCAGACCTGAAGGGCATCTAGGGGCCATAGTCTCAGTGGTTCCACCAAGGCCTGGTCTTCTTTATGATTCTGAGTTTTATTCCACATTGTTCTCCCACTCTATTCAGGATCTCCTGTACTAATCCCTTTCTGAGAAGTTGACAGTGGTAGCCAGGCACCATCTACTTCTGGTCTACTTCTCCTGGTCTCATAGACTAAGGTTCACATGGTCCACTAGTCCCTTGGATTAATTGTTTCCAGGCATCTTTGTTTTTTTTCATTCATCTTTGCAATGAACGAGGAGACACCAATTACTGTATCTAGATGGCCAGTTGGAAGCTTTTAAGACCCGAGTCACTACTCAGCAAAGTAGGATGTAGAACAATGTTTTTGTGTAGTATGTCACACCAAATGAGCCTGAAGTTGTTCCCCATGACCATGGTGTCCCACAGGTCCAACAACTCATTCCATCAGGGTGGTTGACTGTGGCTAAAAAGTTACCGTAAGTTTGCCCCATTTGTTCTATTTATATGGACATTGTTATAGCACATCAAATACATATGTAGAAATACCATCTGCCAACGTTTTACATGGTTGTGGGTATATTCCCTTTTGCCTAGCTAGACATACCTGATCATTCAGCCTGTCTATCCATCTGTTTACCCGTGGATTAATGTTTGTTATCCCTCATAATGCAGTATTTATATGTGTAAAAGTGTTTATCTTTGCTGTCTGTACCTTTTGTGTACCTCTCTGTACCTCTCTGTGTCTTCATTTTCCTTAGTATTACTGTGTTGGTCACTCAGTTTGGTATATGGCCTTTCTCTTCACCCAAATCAATACTTGTCTCTTACTTATCTAGCAATTTTCCCTCCCTCCCATCCCATTCCTGGTAACCAACAAAGAAAGCTCCTTCCATATATAAACCTTTCCTTGACTTTTTACAACAGTGGACTAATACAATATTTATCTTTCTGTGATTGACTTATTTCACTCAGCATAATATCCTACAAGTTCATCCACATTATGAGGTGTTTCATGGATTCTACATTATTCTTTAGTGTTGCATAGTATTCCATTGTGTGTGTGTACCATAGTTTGGTTATCCATTCCTCTGTTGATGGACACTTAGGTTGTTTCCATCTCTTTGCTATTGTGAATAGTGTTGCGATGAACATAGGTGTACATATATCTGTTTGTGTCCTGGCTCTCACTTCTTTTAGATATATACCTAGTAATGAGATCGCTGGATCAAATGGTATTTCTGATTCCAGCTTTTTAAGGAATTGCCATACTGATTTCCACGGTGGTTGTATCATTTTACAGTCTCACAAGCAGTGTATGAGAGTCCTAGTCTCTCCACATCCTTACCAGCATTTGTTAATTTTATGTCTAGTTGAACTTTGCTGTTAGTTCTGGGGTGAGATGGTATCTCATTGTAGTTTCAATTTGCATCTCTCTAGTGTGGGAGCTCTGGTGGCGTAGAGTCTAAGGCATTTGATTGTTAACCAGAAGGCTGGTGGTTCAAACCTACCAGCCACTCCTCAGAAGGAAGGTTGGACAATCTACTTCTGTAGTGATACTGCCTCAGAAACCCAAAGAGGTGTTGCTGTGAGTTGGATACGACTCCACGGCAGTGAGTTTGGTTTGGTTAGTGGCTAATGATCACGAACATGTCTTCATGTGTGTGTTGGCCACCTCAATATCTTCTTTAATGAAGTGTCCATGTCTTCTGCCCAGTTTTTAATTGAGTTGTTTGTCTTTTTGATGTTGAGGTGTTGGAGTTTTCTATAAGTTTTAGAGATTGTTTGTCATATATGTCGTTGGTGAGTATTTTTTCCCCATCTTGTAGGTTCTTCTTTTTTTTTTTTTAATTTTTATTGTGACTGGGTGAAAGTTCACAGAGCTACCAGAGCTCCTGATATGCATGTAAGTATTCAATTTTCAGAAGGTCCCAATTATCTAGTTTATCTTCTGCTGTCTGTATATTTTTGGGTTATGCTTGGTAGTCTATGCCATAAATAAGGCCCCCTAAGTTTGCCCCGGGAGCTCTGGTGGCATAATGCCTAAGGCATCTAACTGCTAACCAGAAGGCTGGTGGTTCGCCTGCCAGCCACTCCTTGGAAAGAAGATGGAGCAATCTACT